CCTTTTGAATAATTTTTCAAAAATAACATCATATTTATAATATGATGAGCACAATAAAGAATAGAAATGCTATGGACCTAACAGAAGCAGAAGATATTAAGAAGAGGTGGCAAGAATACACAGAAGAGCTATATAAAAAAGATCTTCACGACCCAGATAATCATGATGATGTGATCACTCACCTAGAGCCAGACATCATGGAATATGAAGTCAAGTGGGCCTTAGGAAGCATCACTACGAACAAAGCTAGTGGAGGTGATGGAATTCCAGTTGAGCTATTTCAAATCCTGAAAGATGATGTTGTGAAAGTGCTGCACTCAGTATACCAGCAAATTTGGAAAACTCACCAGTGGCCACAGGACTGGAAAAGGTCAGTGTTCATTCCAATCCCAAAGAAAGGCAATGCCAAAGATTGGTCAAACTACCACACAATTGCACTCATCCCACACGCTAACAAAGTAATGCTCAAAATTCTCCAAGCCAGGCTTCAACAATATGTGAACTGTGAACTTCCAGATGTCCAAGCTGGTTTTAGAAAAGGCAGAGGAACCAGAGATCAAATTGCCAATATCTGCTGGATCATCGAAAAAGCAAGAGAGTTCCAGAAAAACATCTACTTCTGTTTTATTGACCACATCAAAGCCTTTGACTATGTGTATCACAACAAACTCTGGAAAATTCTTCAAGAGATGAGAATACCAGACCACCTGACCTTCCTGAGAAGTCTGTATGCAGGTCAAGAAGCAGCAGTTAGAACTGGACATGGAACAACAGACTGGTTCCAAATCAGGAAAGGAGTATGTCAAGGCTGTATATGTCACCCTGCTTATTTAACTTATATGCAGAATACATCATGCGAAATGCTGGACTGGATGAAGCACAAGCTGGAATCAAGATTGCCAGGAGAAATATCAATAACCTCAGATATGCAGATAACACCACCCTTATGGCAGAAAGCAAAGAAGAACTAGAGAGCCTCTTGATGAAAGTGAAAGAGGAGAGTGAAAAGTTGGCTTAAAGCTCAACATTCAGAAAACTAAGATCATGGCATGCGGTCCCATCACTTCATGGCAAATAGATGGGGCAACGGTGGAAACAGTGGCTGACTATTTTGGGGGGCTCCAAAATCACTGCAAATGGTGACTGCAGCCATGAAATTAAAAGACGCTTGCTCCTTGGAAGGAAAGTTATGACCAACCTAGACAGCATATTAAAAAGTAGAGACATTACTTGGCCAACAAAGGTCTATCTAGTCAAAGCTGTGTTTTTTCCAGTGGTCATGTATGGATGTAAGAATTGGACTATAAAGAAAGCTGAGTGCTGAAGAATTGATGCATTTGAACTGTGGTGTTGGAGAAGACTCTTGAGAGCCCATTGGACAGCAAGGAGATCCAGTCCATCCTATATGAAATCAGTCCTGAATAGTCATTGGAAGGACTGATGCTGAAGCTGAAACTCCAGTACTTTGGCCACCTGATGCAAAGACATGACTCATTGAAAAAGATTCTGATGCTGGGAAAGATTGAAGGCAGGAGGAGAAGGGGATGACAGAGGATGAGGTGGTTGGATGGCATCACCGACTCATTGGACATGAGTTTGGGTAAACTCCAGGAGTTGGTGATGGACGGAGGCCTGGCTTGCTGCAGTCCATGGTGTCGCAAAGAGATGGACACGACTGAGTGACTGAACTGAACTGATATTTATAATAACTATCAGGCTTAGTCTTATGTTTGTGTTTATGTTTGAGGAGGGCATGGCAACCCACTCTAGTATTCTTACCTGGGGAATCCCAATGGACAGAGGAGCCTGGAGGGCTGCAGTCTATGGGGTTGCAAAGAGTCAGACATGACTGAGCGACTAAGCACAGCACAGCACAGTCTTATGTTTAACTGATTGCATTTTTCCTTCCTATTCTCAAGGTCTTTGTTTTTGGTTAATTATATTCAGACAATGTACTTTTTAATAAAAAGTACATGATTGGTATACATCTGAAAGTATCATGTTGATTTCACACTGAATGACAACTTGGTGGGGAAGGGAGCAGAATTATTAGGTCACCTTGTTTTTTCCATTCATTCTTTAATATATTGCCATTATCTTCCAGTCTTGCAAACCAAAAATCTGTGGCCAGACCAAATTTTGGTCTTCTGTGTATGACTTCTTTTTTCCTTATTGGTTGATTGTGGGGCATTTTCTTTATCCTTAAAATCTGAAAGTTTCACTAGAACAAATCCAGTCACTCTCTTTTTAGTAATTTTGCTGGTCTTTTGTGAGCTCTTGATCTGGAGATGCAGAACATTCTTTGACCCAGGAAAGTTTACATTTCCTTTTAGAAAATCTTTGATGATTATTTCTGTCCATTTGTTTCCAGGATAGCAAATTAGTTGAAGTTTATTTCTCTCTTATCAGTCCTCTCTCATACTTTTCATTATTTCTCCTTTCCTACTCCATTCTGCAAGAAATTTTGAATTTGTTGTCCCTGTGTTTCTAAGAAAGTATTCTGATCTTTACTTTTCTAGTAAAGATTTGAATTCTGCTTTGGTATATTTGTAATTTTTACCTTTCTTTTCCCCCTGTCACATTTATTCCTGCATCTCAACTAGCTTCTTTCATTTCTGCCTGTGAACTTTGAGCTCTTATTTCAATGTGCTTTATCAAGTTTGTATGTGCTTTATCAAGCAATGTAGTTGATTTCTAAAATTTAACTGATTGCTCCTTATATTTTCCTTTTCTGGATTACAGAGGCAGAGTTTCCCTTCTTTTATGTTGCAGAAAGTTTTCCTATCTCTCCCCTCAATTCTTCCTTGAGTAAGGAGAGGGGTATACAGGTCTAGCGTGTGCCAGATAGGGTAAACTGGTTGCTTCATTGGCTACTTGGTAGCTATAGGAATTCTCTTTTAAGGTGTTAAACTAGAGGACTAATTGATTCACATAGTTTCTGAATGCTTTCCAGTGTCCAGCAGTCATTTATGTGTTTCCTGCTGGATTGAGTAGAGGAAATTCTTTCCTTTGGCCTGGTAATTTTACTTTGAAAAAGACGACTTTTTGTTATTGTTGATAATTTGAAGTCTAGGCTACAAAAAAATGATTTCCAGCATGTAATGTTCCCAGGACTTTTGCTATCTCTGCCCTTCCTGCATTTGTCTTCAAATCTCAGGGTGAATGTACTACTTTGTATGTTACGGAATCTGAAGTACAGAAGGAAGGTTGTAGGTATATAATACTAATAGCACTGACTGTTTTAAGTGAGTCTCTTACAGAAGGGTAATGTAACTTAGCGTTGCCATTGCTGCCTCTGAAGAAAGCTGTTTAGGAACAGGTAGTTGGAGGAAGTTAGAAATCTGTTGCTATCCTCCTGGCTCCCATTTATGCCTGCTCTTCAGCAGAAAAGTCATTTTTGAGTCCAGCAGTTGTTTGAGCAGCAGCCCTAGTTGCCAGTGCTGTTAATAACTGAGTCTCAGTGTGTCCTTAAGTATATCGATGAAAAATTAGGGTAGAGGTGATGATAGAGGAACCAGGCATTGTTCGGTAGCCTCCATTTTAGCTCCCAGCTTACTGTTAATTTTTTGAAAGAAGGAAGATGAGAGAAGAGTGGAGAATAGGCACTAGTGGATGAAGGAAAAGTTTTAAATATCTTGTACCAAATTAGTTGCAATTTCTAAGGGAAATGTGATAACATTGAAATCAAATAGTCAAGGTTTAAAATACTCTTGGTTAGTCTTTGTTTTAAAGTTTATTTTGTTTGATACAAGTTTTGTTACCCCAGCTTTCTTTTTATTTTCATGCAATACCTTATTTCATACCCTCATGTTCAGTCTGGTTTTTTTTAGATCTGATAGGAGTCTCTTGAAGGCATTGTGTATCTGGATCTTGTTTTTGTATCTATTTAGCTACTCTGTGTCTTTTGATTGGAGCATTTAGCCATTCAGGTTTGAAGTTATTGATGGTATGTACTTACTGCCATTTGTTTATTTTATTCTGATTGTTTTGTAATTCTTTGTGTTCCTTTTTTTCTCTCTCTCTTCCCTTGTGATTTGATGACTATCTTTAGTGTTATGTTTGGATTCCTTTCTATTTTGCATGTTTGTATTATAGATTTTTGCTTTGTGATTACCATGAGATTCATATATAACTCTGTGGGTGTGTAAATTAAGTTCAAACACATTCTAACAACTTTGCATTTTTACTCCCTCCCCAACCATGTTTAATGTTTTGACATTATATTTTACCTCTTGTTTTGTATATCCCTTAACTACTTACTATGGGTAGAAATGATTTACTACTTTTACCTTTTAACCTTCCCACTAGTTTTATATGTGGTTGATCTGCCTTTACTGTATGCTTTCCTTTACAAGTAAGTTTTTTTTCTTTTTAACCATGCCACACAGCTTTCAGGATCTTAGTTCACCAACCAGAGGTCAGATCTGTTCCCCCTCCAGTGGAAGCACAGAATCCTAACCACTGGATTGCCAGGGAATTCCCCATAATTCTGATATTTCTAGTTGTGGTCTTTTCTTTCTAGAGAAGTCCTTGTAACATTTCTTGTAAAGCCAGTTTAGTGACACTGAATTTTTACCTTTTGCTTATCTGCACAACTCTTCATCTCTACTTCAAATCTGAATGATAGCCTTGCTGGGGGAGCTATTTTGGGTTGTAGGTTTTTTCTTTCATCTCTTTGATTATATCATGCCACTTGCTTCTGGTCTGTAGAGTTTCTGCTGAAAACAGCTCATGGTCCTGTGAGAATTCCTTTGTATGTAACCATTTGCATTTTCTCTTGCTGCCTTTATTTTCTTCTTTTGTTCACGCTATGTGGCTTGTGGGATCTCAGGTTCACAAGCAGGGATTGAACCCCAACAATGGCAGTGAAAGAGCTGAATCCTAACCACTGGACAACCGGGAACTGCCAAGTCTTGCTGCTTTTAAGATTCTCTCTTTGTCTTTTTTTTTTTTTAACCACAAATAAGATCTTTTATTTGTCACCATTAAGAGTCTGCATTTTAAACCGATTCTTGGACTGGTGGCTCATATCCATCAGCTTGTTCAACTTTAGCACCTGTCTCGTCCTCAGTAGCTTTTCCAGAACTACTACCTTCACCATGTAGCTCCATGAGTTTTCCCAATTCAGATTTGGGCTGCTTCAGCATTTTTCCTTTCCAACAAAGACATCATGGAGCGGATAAATAGATTGGCAAGCCTTTTTTATGTCCTTTCCAATGCTATCTGGAATCAATTTATTGACCACCTCTTTCAAGTCGTTTGTCTGCACCTCTTGGGTCATGATCTCCATCATCTTGCAGATCTGGTGCACCTGCTGGTGCTGGGCATAAGAGGTCTTCCAGATCTGATTGTTGTGCTTTTTAGTAAAACCCACACAGAACAGATGAAGCAAGTAACTATTGGTAGTCTTGACATCAATATGAGCTTTAATCTGCCATTTTTTGACCATGGAGCACATTTTGTCACGGGTAAGATCCATACTGTGAAAATTAGTCAGGCAGTTTTTGCCCTGAACATCCTCAGTAATTAGCTTGAATTTTCTAAATGCTACTCCATCATTCTGCAGATCAGCAAGACTCACTTCAAAAACACGACCTTTGAGGCCATCTGACGAGATTTTGGTTCCTTGAGTTCTCGTGACCAGTGTTTTCCCAATATTCCTTATATTGAACATAGCTGGTGCTTTCACATCATACCAATCTTTTTTAGAAAATGGGTCAACCACTTTCTTCTTGGCTCCCTTTTTGTCTCCTTTCGTAAGGCGCTTGTTCTTGCCGACCGCCATGGTGCCGCTCTAAGAGCCAAAAAGGCTCTTTAACTTTTGCCATTTTAATTATAGTATATCTCGGTGTGGACCTCTTTGGGTTCATCCTGTTTGGGACTCTGTACTAAGTCCTAGATGTGGATGTCTGTGTCCTTTCCCAGGTTAGGGAAGTTTTCAACTCTAATTTTTCAAATAAATTCTCTACCCTTTTCTGTCTTCTCCCATTTGGGCCTCTTAACTGCTAATGTTATTATGCTTGCAGTTTTCCAAGAGATTTCTTAAGCTATTCTCATTTTCATAAGTTCTTTTTTCTGTTCAGCTTGTGTGATTTCTGTTACTCTGACTTCCAGTTTGCTGATCTGTTCCTCTGTATTATCTAATCCACTGTTGATTACATCTAGTGTATTTTTAATTTCAGTTATTGTGTCCTTCAGCTCTGTTTGGTTCTTCTTTGTATTTTCTCACTCTTAAATTTCTCACTTTGTTCATTCATTCTTCCAAGTTTGTTGAGCATCTTATGATCATTACCCTGTACTCTTTGTCAGGTGGATTGTTTATCGCCACTTACTTTAGTTCTTCTTTGGTTTTGTTTTGTTCCTTTGTTTGAAAAATACTCCTCTATCTCCGTGTTTTGCCTAAATCTCTGTTTATTTCTATTGGTTTGACCAAAAGGTTCATTCAGGTTTTTCCACTGTTATGGAAAAATCTGAACAAACTTTTTGGCCAACCCAATATGTAATAGGTAGGCCAGTTATTGAACATTTCCCAATTTTGGAGAAGTAGCCTTATACAGGAGACATCCTATGGGGCCCAGCTGCATGCTACTCTTGGTCACTTAGTTCTATATACTCTTGGGTGCCCTCTGTGGGCTGTGTGGGTCATTTTGTTGTTGGGGGGCCATGTACTGTGGACATGCTGGTAGGCAAGGCTGGCTGCCAGCCTAGTTGGATGCCAGGTCCTGCCTCATGAATGGCTGCCAACCCACTAGTGGTGGGCCGAGGTCCTGGCACAACTGGCTACAGGGTCCCAGGGGTCTCAGGGTTGGTGTTGGCCCATGGTTGGGAGAGGCCAGATACCTCAGAGGCTGAGGCTGGTGCTGGCCTGCTAGTGGGTGGGTAAAGCCCCCAGGACTAATAGGCTAGAGGGAGTACTCCAAAATGTTTCTTGCCAGCACCAGTATCCTCATGGTAGAACAAGGTCACTCATTTGGCTGCTGCCAATATCTATGTCCCCAGGTAGTGTCCCAGTTGATACATTCCTCTCCAGAAGGCTCTGCAAGATTAGCAAGTGTTTCTGACCCAGGCTCCTTTCAAGTTACTGCCTCTGTACTGGGAGACCATGTGAGATTTGACATGCACCCTTTAAGAGCAGAGTCTTTTTCTTACAGCCTTCTAGCTGTCCTGTACACAAGCCCTGCTGACTTTCAAAGCTAGATGTTCTGGGGACTCATCTTCCCAGCGCAGAATCCCTGGACTGGGGATCCTTATGTATGTCTGTAACCCCTCACTCCTTGGGGAAAACCCCTGCAACTGTGATTATCCTCTGCTTTGTGGGTTCCTTAGCTGGAGATGTGGGTTTTGACTATACCATGTCTAACTTTTTTAGCCAGATGTTTAATTCACTTTATTTTCTCCTGATATAGGTGTTCTTGGCTGTGTGAATTTTCTTCTCAACTGGTTTGGCTGTATTCTTTAGGTTCCAATGTGTAGTATTCTCCTTATTTCTAAAAGATTTGCTGTTTTGATATCTTTTTTAACCCAGATCCATAGGTTTTGTTGTTGTTTTAAGGTGGAAGGCCATGGTTTTATTTTAAATTTATAATTTTGGTGCATTGTCACCAGGGTAATTTGACTCTCTTATTGTTACTTTTGGATTCATTGAGATTTTCTTTATGGCCTTTCTTAAAGGTTAATTTTTATTGATTGGAAACTTGACTTTTTCTTGATAAAAATAGTTAAGCGATACTTATTTCTCTAATATTTATTAATACCTAGTTCATATATCCATCTAAAATTTGTTAAGGTTTATTTGTTTTGGGCTGCACTGGGTCTTCATTGATGTATGCGGGCTTTCTCTAGTTGTGGCGAGCAGGGGCTGCTCTCTAGTTGTGGTATGTGGGCTTCTCATTGCAGGGGCTTCTCTTGTTGTGGAGTACAGGCTGTAGGCACACAGGCTTCAGTAGTTGCAGCATGTAGGCTGAGTAGTTGTGGTGCATGAGCTTAGTTGCTCCTCAGCATGTGGGATCCTCCTGCATCAGGGATCAAACCCATGTCCCCTGCATTAGCAGGTGGGTTCATAACCACTGGACCACCAGTGAAGCCCTATCTAAAATTTTGAGATTGTAGGACTTCCCTGGTGGTACCGTGGATAAGAATCTGCCAGTGCGAGGGACACAGGTTCGACCTCTGTTCCAGGAAGATCCCACATGCTGCAGAGCAACTATGCCCATGAGCCACAGCTGCTGAGCCTGTGTGCTGCAACCACTGAAGCCCATGTGCCGAGAGCCTCTGCTCCACAACAAGAGAGGCCACTGCACTGAGAAGTCCGTACCCTGCAACTGGAGAGCAGCCCCTGCTCTCCACCTGCATGCAGCAAGGAAGACCCAGCACATCCAAAAATTTTTAAAAATAAAAATAAAACAAAAATTTGAGATTATAAAATCTGTATTTGGCAAGAGTGTAAAACTTCAGCAGCCCAGTTAAAGACATTGTAGACATATTTTCTTAAGAGGGAAATTTTTTCGATGCATACCAAAATTATGCAGTTTCCATACATAAATTTCTTAGGTACAATAAAGAATGCTTTAAAACTTGAACTGAAAATTTAATGAAAAATAAAATGTATAGCTAGTATAGATAAAATAGGAAAAAAATATAGGTCTTGTATTTAGTGTATGTACAAAGTAGTATATATGGGCTTCCCTGGTAGTTCAGCTGGTGAAAAATCCTCCCGCTATACAGGAGACCCTGGTTCAATTCCTGGGTCAGAAAGATCCCCTGGAAAAGGGATAGGCTACCCATTCCAGTATTCTTGGGCTTCCCTGGTGGCTCAGATGGTAAGAATCCGCCTGCAATGTGGGAGACCTGGGTTTGGTCCCTGTTGGGAAGATCCCCTGGAGAAGGGAGCAGCTACCCAGTCCAGTATTCTTGCCTGGCGAATTCCACGGACAGAGGAGCCTGGCAGGTGACAGTCTGTAGAGTCTCAAAGAGTCGGACACAGCTGAGCAACTTTCACTTCACATATATGTGTATGTATATATATTCTTTTTCCTTACAGGTTATTAGGCAATATTGAGTGTAGTTCCCTGTGCTGTACAGTAGGTTTCTGTTGGTTTTCTGTTTTACATATAGTAGTGTGTATATGGTAATGCCAACCTCCTGATTTATCACTCCCCCCTTCCCCTTTAGTAACCATAAGTTTGTTTTCTGTGTCTATGAGTCTTTTTCTGCTTTGTAAATAAATTAATTTGTATCTTCTTTTTTTTTAAGATTCTGCATGTCCTGTGATATTTGTCTTTGTCTGATTTCAGATAATCTCTAGGTCCATCAGTGTAACTGCAAATGGCATTATTTCATTCTTTTTTATAGCTGAGTAGTATATTCCATTTGTGTGCGTGTATATCTGTATATGCACACACTCCACATCTTCTTTATTCTGTCAGTTGACATGTAGGTTGCTTCCATGTCTTGGCTATTGTAAATAGTGCTACAGTGAGTATTGGGTTACATGTATCTTTTTGAATTATAGTTTTGTTCAGTATATGCCCAGAAGTGGGAATGTAGATAACTAGTTTAAAGGAACCTCCATACTGTTCCCCATAGTGGCTGTACCAATTTATTCTCCCACCAACAGTGTAGAAGGATTTATTTTTCTCCACACCCTCTCCAGCATTTGTTATTTATAGACTCTTGATGATAGCCATTCTGACCAGAGTGAGGTGATACCTCATTGTAGTTTTGATTTGCATTTCTTAATAATTAATTAGTGATGTTGAACATTTTTTCATGTGCTTGTTGGCCATCTGTATGTCTTATTTGGAGAAATATCTAGGATCTTCTGTCCATTTTTTGATTAGGTTGTTTGTTTTTTTTTTGAACTGAGTTTGTGAGTCAATTTTATATTTTGGAAATTAATCCCCTGTCAGTCACTTCATTTGCAAATATTTGCTCTATTCTGTATGTTGTCTTTTGTTTATGGTTTCCTTTGCTGTGCAAAAGCTTTTAAATTTAATTTGGTTCTTCCATTTATTTTTATTTCCGTCACTCTAGGAGATGAATCCAAAAAGATATTGCTGCAATTATGTCAGAGAGTGTTCTAATTTGACCAATTTTAAAAATGAATGTATAGGGAGGTTTCTAAGGCTTAGGATCCCAGTTTCATAATTCTGGTATACATCCCTGAGTTTTGCTTCTATATTCTTTAAATTGCTTGTTGATGGAGTTATTCTTTACATTTGCAGCTCCATGGACTAACAGCCCACTGGGCTCCTCTGTCCATGGAATTCTCCAGGCAAGAATACTGGAGTGAGCAGCCATTCCCACCTCACCCAGGCATCGAGCCTGGGTCTCCTGCATTGCAGGCAGATACTTTACCATCTGAGCCACCAGGGAAGCCCAGCGAGTGCTCTGAGATCTCTGGGTGGGGGGTAGCTATTCTTTGCATATTTCATGAAAACCCTATTTTATCGTTATCTGAACATGTCTGAGTCGACTTGATAAATTGTTATGTTTGTGTTCTGATAGAAGGATGGGTCACCTCTGTAATTTCTGTATAATACTTTACCTTTTTTTTGTTGTTGTTAGGATATTTATTTGACTGCTACCTTAAAATACAGGCCGTAAAAATGCCAGCTTGTTTGGACTTAGAAGATGACCTGGACAAATGATAAAAATTAAGAAAGACATTTTGGTGAGTGAAAACTTACTTGAGAGTAAATATGGCTCAACTTAATTCCTACCAGTGGAAAGACACTACCGAAGTTATAGAGCGAAATTCTCTTAAGTTTGAATGCCTTCTGTTTC